CCGTGAAGACGATTTTGTATTCAACGCAAAAAGCTTTTGAATTCTATGCGGGATGCGAGTCACGTTGATAACATTTTTAATTAGCATTTAACCACATCGATGAAGAGAAAATTTCATTCGAAATTTTTGCAAACCCGACAATTTTATATAAATTCTTTTTTTATCCACAAGTTTGCATGAAATAATTGGTAGTTTGCAGTAGTTCGTTAACGATTGTAACGATTTCGTTTAATTAAATCGCGAGAGTTTTTTTTCTCACGGTCGCGAGAAAGTCAATTAATCATGCAGATAAGTCGCACAATATCAGGAAGGATGTGTGATAAACCTTTCAACCGAGGAAAATAAACGGAGAAGAATCGTGCAATCCTACTCTTTATCGCGAATACATCTTTAATATTAACCGAGATTTGGTCATGAAAACTGATTTAATCGAGGAAAATGATTGCAATTCAATTGTAAAAAAAAGAAAAAAAAATAATAATAAAGGGATGGAAATTATCGAGTGACGAGATGTTAAATTAACAACGTGATTAAAGTGAATAAAAAAAAAGAAATAAAAAAAATAGGAGAAAAATGCGCAATAAAGGAAACAAAAATTGTTTTATTTTAACCCTCTTATTTTAATATATCGATGGATAAATTGAAAATTGAAAATTGATCGTTACGACGAATGTTAAAGTTAAATTTTCCTCCTATTCTCTCCCGTTGATTCGTCTCAATTGATCCATTTTCACGTTGGAGATCCACCGATTGGATCATTTTGTTCTCGTCGGGGCGAGGCCATCAAGCTCTTAAGATCGTTTAGAGCTATTTCTTTCTACGAATCGAGAGTAATAGTAGTAGTAATAGTCAAAGTCGAGGCAAGAAATCGTAAAAATAATTTGCGAGAGAATTCGAACGAACGACATCATTATTCCAATACTATTATGATTTCCAAGAAGACTCGAGTTTGAAATATGAAGGACAAAGAAAAGAAGGACAAAAAAAAAAAAAAAAAATTAAGAAGAGATGAAACGTCGCGTCTGAG